ATAAGATAATAATGGCTAGAAACAATCCATCAAATGCATGTCTTTGGGTTTAGAGAAATAAAAACAAAGTAGTTATGATTCAGTTCACAATTTCGAAAATATGAAGGCATTAAAAAAACGTCTCCTTCGACACTTCCCGCTCGCCTACGAAGGTTGGTGCTGTAAACCAGGCATAACTAGTCAGATAAAATTATGGAGTCAACTCGGCTTCAATGATTACTACCCAGAGTTCCTTTCGGTCCAGTCGCGTAGGCTTGAGYTGGTCGACGACAACATTTTTTGAATTGACTGTATACCTACCCTGTTGCCCTTCTCTCCAACACTGCCAGCTGCACCTGCTGCACCGGGTCGTCCCTAGGATAAAACAATAGGAGCATTGTAACCGGTAATTATGCTAGGAGTAATTATTCTAATGGTAAGGTACTCACATTAGGTCCCTGAGGACCTGGTAATCCAGATGGACCACGTGCTCCCATTGGTCCCTGAAGTAGAAAAGAACAATTAGTTATAATGTGGGTAAAGGTTAAACTTGAGAGTAGCTGGACAGCTGTATTGCTACTAAGATGCGGGGGACCCCTTTATGCGTGCAGAGGCCTAGTGTTTGGCTCACGTTGCTTCGTTGCTTGCCATTGTTTCCTTGCACTGGCTGGTATTCATTATTTGGTAATACTCAGTACTCCTCGGTATTTTCCACCACAGGGGTTTTCTGTGCTCCACAAACAAGGTGCATTGTAGTCTGGCTTCGGCATAAGGCATATTGAAAACAACAGAAAAATTCGTACCCAAGCTAGACCATAATGCACCATGTTCGCAATCATAGAACTGGCCTATACCCAACCCCCTTTYGTTAAATTATATGGCAAGATTGCGATTGATAAATGGAACATGATACTTACGGGTTGGCCAGGCGCTCCAGTGGCTCCTTCAACTCCTTTTGGTCCCACTGGACCCTGGAACAGAGATAAGAGAATAAACGGTTAGAATAAGTACGCATGCGCGAGAACCTAAACATTTCAAGAGGCTTCAAGGGATATTTCACTACTTACCGGTGGGCCCATGGCTCCTTTTGGTCCAGTCTTTCCTGCAGGACCCTATTAGTGGAAAAAGCACATACACATCAACACACCTTGCTAAGGGCTTTTCGCCACTTTTTACATCCCATGATACATTGCAAATCAGTTCCCAAGACTGATAAGTGATTTTTGCCACAGGTAGCCCATACAATAGTATATCAAACTTACCGGTAATCCGTCTTTTCCGTTGGCACCTGATCCTCCAGGCTCACCCTGCATTAAGGAAACGTAATAAGAAAATAAGAAGAATCTGAATCTGAAATTTTTGAGCACCACAAAAAAATAATTGATAAAATGATTGATATAATAACATAAATTTAAAATAATAATGATAATAATAATATCAAATCATTGGCTGATTCTCTGAAAGGGAGAAATGATAAAATCACCAGGATGACTGAGATGACAAATAAATATGACTAATTTGCTCGATGAGCTTTTGCTTTTGCTAAAATATTATTTGATAATAATAATAATAATAATAATAATAATAATAATAATAAAATGACAAACCTTTTTGCCGTCTTTACCAGAATCTCCCTGTTCTCCTTGCTCGCCAGGCTCACCCTATGACAAAACATGTTTTTTCTGATCAGTCAAACCGAGATTAAGTCTTAAATCAGGATACCGGTCCATGGGTAGAGGATACCGTAGGACGGTTGACTTAGGGCCTTGATTGATAAAATATAACATATTGATTGTCTCACTTACAGCTCTTCCTTGGTCTCCTTTAAAACCCTGAGGACCTTTGTCACCAGGGGGACCCTAAAAATAGAAACAAATTTAACCAATATTAACACTTCCTTCTGTCACGTGATCTTTTAGTTTTCGCTGGCTGTGTTTTCAGTAGGACAATTTAAACTAGCTTAAATATAACACCGTAAATAAGGCAAAGTTAAACTACCTAGCAAGATGGCTTAAGTTGTCCTACCAAATAAATGGGCCAATCATAGTGTTTTTCTTGAAAGGTGGTTGTCGAACTAAAACACCTCCAGGAAATGTACGCAAGTTAACATTTCTAGTGAAAACACAGCCACTGAAGAATTAAAGATAAAACCACCGGAAACGCCACTGGAAATATAGGCAAATTTAAGGAGAAAGAGTGCAAAACCCAAACTGAAGTGTACTTACTCGTGGTCCTGGCATTCCGGGGGGACCTGAAGGTCCAGGTTTGCCTTGGGGTCCCTATCGATAAGTACAGAAAAATATAGTTAAAATTAAATCAGTAGGAGGAATGGGTGCTTCTGCTTATCACATGAAAAGTCAAGTCAAGTTTATTTCACACACAAAAATTCTAGTTAAAAAAAAAAAAAAAAGGGAATATTGATATAGAGTTTAACAGTTATAAAATTTACAGAATAAATATTCACAAATTGAGATCAAGTTGAAAAAGTATAAACTATCGAGTCAACAGATAAGGTTTGACATTAAAAGGTTTGATAACTTGAGTACTTAAGCCTGGAAGAGAGGGCGTGCTTGTAATTTGGTAAATGTAAATCGTAAGGTCTTCTATGCTCCCCCCCCCCCTCCCGATATTCATAATCTGATAACATTAGATGACAGAAGTAAACGAGTGGTTACCGTTTCTCCGCGAGGACCGGGGAATCCAGGTAGTCCAGGTCGTCCAGGAAGTCCCTGAAGAGTACGAAAAGAAAAGAAGTGAATATCACGTTAATGTAATGYAATGGAAGGTTCTTGTATAGCGCATTTATACGTCAAAATGCGCTTTACATTTATGACCAGTGGAGGACTTTACGGGCTGCATATTAAGGCGCTATTAGCAGCCGTGCAGCTTACACTCATTGTTGAATTGTTAGTAGTTTAGTATTATGCCTCTAGATTGGGATAGGCTTTTGAACCGGGAGACAATCCCCTACTTTTACGAGAATGATTCAACAGGTTCTTTTATGTCCCCCATTTTGCAGCAGGTTAGAAAGGGTTGGGAGACAGAACCTTGAAGGTATAGCCATTTGCAGATGTAATTACAAAATCAACACGTTATATCATATGATGCTTGACCAATGCCTATGCTCTATTTCTGTTATAGGCGAAGTATATAAACGTACCATCATTCCTACTGGTCCAGCCTGACCACGATCTCCTTGAGGACCAGGTGCACCCTGTAAAGGGAGTAACAATTAAACACATCCAAAAGAAAATTTCAAGGAGGAGATGAAAAAGCTTCTTTATTGGATCAAATGCAGGAAATCAAGGCTGGCCTAGCGGTACGTAATGTACTCGCCTCTCAACTCTGGGGACTCAGTTTTGATTCGTGGACTCTGCATCTCATGTGAGTAGAGTCTTTTAGAGTTTTTCTCCAGGTTCTCCGGTTATCCCTCCTCGCAAAACCTAAAAACCTAAACTCCGATTCAATCTTTGAGTTAGCCGTGCCCTGACTTTGATCGGCCCAGAGGTTGTTTTAGGGTTCGATCTTTAAGTTAGTCGTGCCCTGACTTTGATCGGCCCAGAGGTTGTTTTAGGNTGCCCTGACTTTGATCGGCCCAGAGGTTGTTTTAGGGTTCGATCTTTAAGTTAGTCGTGCCCTGACTTTGATCAGCCCAGAGGTTGTTTCAGGGTTCTATCTGTGAGTTAGCCATGTCCTGACTTAGATCAGCCCAGAGATTGTTTCAGGGTTTCATCTGTGAGTTAGCCATGCCCTGACTTTGATCGGCCCAGAGGTTGTTTTARGGTTCGATCTTTGAGTTAGTCATGCCCTGACTTTGATCGGCCCAGAGGTTGTTTTAGGGTTCGATCTTTAAGTTAGTCGTGCCCTGACTTTGATCAGCCCAGAGGTTGTTTCAGGGT